AATTCACCATAAAGTTTCAAAAACAAAGCACGATTCATTATAATTTTTTTATAATGATAATAATCCAATACAACATTATTTATAAAAAAAATAGATGGAAATTATTTTTTCCGTTAAACAATAAATACTATTTTTCAATAAATATTTTCTTATTTCTAAGAACGTGTTTTAAAGCAAATTGTACTCTTATTGAATTTATTTATGATCGTTAATGACAAAAATTTCTAAATAAATACAAAATATTTTCCTTTTCTTCATCGAATATTAAAACAAATTATCAAATTAATTTATCAATTCCAATTTCAACATATAAGCAAAGCATGAAATAAACCCCTATCAATTAGTCAGTGGCGTAGTCAAGATTATGCCAAGGGAGGCATACTATATGCTTGAAAATATTATTATTTGGGGCAGTGTTTTTATAATGAACTATTCATAGATTATATTACGAAAGAGAGAATCTCTTTCCCTCCCTGGACGCGCCACTGCACCTAGTGTTTGGGCTCTATTTAATTATAAGATTTTTTTATATACATAAATGTGCAATTGAATATAATAAATTATTAATGAAAAAAAATTAATTCAAGATTTTATTTTACATTTTGAAGTACATAAACTGTATGAAATCAGTTAGCAAAAGCTAAGAGAAAGTCAACATTACTCGTATAATCAAAAATAAACAAAAATGATAACGATATTTTTTATTAACACATATAACAAAATAAATATAAAAAAAAACATGAAAGAAATAAATTTATTATGAATTTAAAAAAAAAACTAGACCATAAAAACCTCATAATTGAATAGTCGTATGTGTCGACTATGTATACAGACACTGAGAACAAATTAATTTTCAAGTGAATTTGAGTTAAATTTTGTCAAAATGACGTCATTGTTTAAATAACTAATAATTAGCATGCAAATCGACAAAAGTGAACATAAGTATCTACAGCGAACTCGCATGTACAGATACTCGACGATTGAAGTTTATCTCAACTTGTTTGCTTGTCATCTGTGCAAATTTTGCGAATATGTAAACGAGTTGATGTGCTGCATTCATACAAAAGCCAATAAAACTGAGAATCTGAGAATCTGAGAATCTGTGAAAATGTGAAAATGTTCCTTTCTGTCACTAAATAATCTTGCATTACCTATAAAAACATTATCACGTATCCGTTAGATACGTTTTTAATGAGCAGCTCAGTATGGAACATTAGAGCAACTAACTGAAAACGCTATTGTAATTGAAACATGCACGTAGTAATATACCGACTTCCTTCCCTCTCGCCGCTGTGCCTCTTATCTACAATAGTTAATTGCTTTTGTTGCAATTGTTGGATTCACATTTGAATCCGAAGTGTTGACAGAAAAATGTTTAAGAATTTTTTATTTTGAAATGTTATTCACATATTATATTTTAAAAAAATAGTTTTATTTAAATGATGAGCACGTTTCGTTTTTATTATGAAATGTTGTTGTTATTTATGTAATTCTCTAATATAAAAAAAATATTAATATTCAATAATATCAATATGCATTCCAGGAGAATGTATCACTAATTTAGTTAAGTAATTATGTCTTTTTAAACAATGGTGATTGATTGCTCTATATACTATAGTTCAGAGAGAAGTATCTTATGACCTTAAATCGTATACGAGATATGCTACGACAAAGGATACAATGAATATTACACAAAAGTTTAAATAGAGAGCGCCTATTGAAAGTATTAAAATCAAAAATAATCATTAAGACTTATTAACTTGTTAAAAGGACTTCAGCAAACCTAATCTAGCTTTATGTTATAGATACATAAATACATCTTTATATTTTCTATATGTTATATTATCTATATAAATATAAATAATTACTTCGAAATAATTTCATAGATTCTTCGTATAACCGCTTTAAAAATTCTTGTTGTAACTACTCCGATATTAATATATGTCAGTAGATTAAGTCGTTGTTATAGCTGAAGTAGTATTCCGATCGTTACGAGACAGACTTGGCTCGCCTTCCTTTTGAATAATCAAACTCCAATGAAAAAACAGGAAGTGACAATAACAAACACCCGTTTGTGTTTAAAACCTATGGACCTACTGGCTGTTATTTATCTCACCGAAATCAGCGAAGAATGTGCTTAGCAATGGTTGAAATAAATCTTGTGTTGGTTGAACACGAAGATTTGTAATGCTGCTAAAGAAAGACTTATGAAAACCTTGAAAATTCAATATATGATTTTCAGAGTTTCTCCGACTGAGATCCGATTCAAATTTCCTCACAAGAAAACGCGTGTGCACGGTGCTTAGAGGGCGCTGTTCAATATTAAATATTGTAACTTATGCCAAAATGCACAGAGCCTTAATCGGTATAAATGTTATCCAAGTAACAAAAAATAGTCGAATAAAACGATAAGTAGCTCCCTTCAGAAGACGATTGCAGAAATATGGTGAATGATAGATTAAAAATCCTTGGATAAAAAAAATTCCGACACACAATCTCTTGGTTCGTCAGCTTACAGTAACTGCATATCTTTCTATTGCTCTCTATGAAGCAAATAAATTTATATTGATAGAGTGGAAATAAAGAACTGTCTACAAATAAAAGACTAGTGTACTAAATATATTTCCGGTAAATACCTGCCTACTTATACAACTAACTGTGAGAAGAGTATTGAAACTTCTATAAGGTCAAAGCGATTTTTTTCTTGCAGTTTTATATTACATAAATTATATGAAAGTATATAAATTAACAATTAAATTTGTTTTTCAAAAAACGTGAATAAATAATAAATCAATAAGATTGCTCTTTGGGAATCAGGTAGAATATTTACCCGAATGAGAAACCCAAATGAGGTTTAAAGCATAAATAAAAATATTTTTAACAGATACAAACCTTTTAAACCTTTAAACATAAATACATGTGTTTTGATAAATTGAATTAATGCACGCTTGGATGCTTTAGTTAAGTTAAGCAAAAATATTGCGAAAAAAAAATATGTATCAAGAAAGATTGTGATTTATGTATTTTAAAAACGACAAAAGTCACACAAAATAGTGACGTCAAAACTTTACACATTTATGTATCTGAAAAATATGAAATAACACGAAAAAGCACAACTTTTAAAAATGCCATATGCCGCCTCAGAGAATTCCTCAACAATTGAAATAAAATAAAAAATAAATAGACTTGAAGATATTTTCAGGTTAAAAAAAATTTCTCAGACCTGTCAAGATATCAAAAAAGACCAGAAAACAGACTGAGTAAATGTTAAAACAATAAACAAGTATGTGAAAAGTAACATTAAATCTATTTAAATACAATATTTACAATTTTTTTACTCATCGGTAAGTATTGAAAATAGCCGGTTCATTATCTGCTAACTCATAGATACTTGTAACTTTAGATTGCCAACAACAATAAATTTTTTTGATAATTATTAAACTTGAAACGTCACATTGTCACGATGTGAATTTTTGAGGGCCTGAGCATGAGTGTCTGCGTCCATAAATAATTATTTTTGATAATTTACAATATTTTTATGAAGTGCCATGCATGTTAAATACGTCACTTATATAAATAAATTTTACAGAAATCTTTATTAATAATGACGAAATACTCTATATTGTGAGTATTAAAATGTGTTTTAATGCTAAGTGAATATTTCTAAGGAAACCACAAGATTAGTAATTGAGAATAAATAATAAATAAAATATTTGAATAGTGATTATATGAAAGCGCTACAAATTTTTTGTTATAAAAACTCCGATTTTTCAAGCAATATACATATAAAGTATACTATATAAAAATTCATATATTTGCAACTGCACTCAATGAAAAATTTTAAGACATATAACATTGTAACGCTCTGTGCTCAGTTACTAGTGAAAAAAATTTGTGATAATATTTTAAGTGAAATTGATAGTAAAGTGTAATCAAAATGAAGTTATATCGATGAAGATATATAGTTTTATTTGTTTATACCGATCTTATATAAAAATAACCCATAAAGATATCAGACTTATAGCAGTCTTTCATAACTGTAAGGTAAGTGTTTAAGATCTGCTTTACTATTACACGCCCCAGCAAAAATTAAAGATGCACAGAAATTACCTTTTAGAGGATCTTAATCAGCTTAATCAGGTCATTGATAAGATGGTTTAAACTGCCCTTGCTATATATAGTAACACAATGTATCACCAGCTACATTTTCAGTTTCTGTGTTTTATTAATAATGTACTTATACCCCTAATAAAATTTTGTATCTAAGTAAATATTGCATGAGAAAATATCTTTTAATTTTTTTTCCCAGAAAAGTAATTTAAGTTTTGTGTGTGTCAAACTAACCAGTAAACATAATTCTCTATTCATTATATTTATGTATTTTTATCAATTTCATATCAAACACAACTTATTTAAATATTTAAATTGCTAATGAAATGCAAAACAGCAGCACGACTTAGCCAGCTCAGTTCAAGTCTCAACTGATGTCATAAAACAGGTGCTAATAAGCTAAACTTGAAATAACCTACAAACTTGGACTATAAAAAATGATAACGTTGAAAGCAATAACAATAATATGAATTCAATTATAAATATAATAATAAAAAACTGATTTCCAATATAAAAATTAATTAAAATATTAAAAACGCGGTAAAAATTCTTCTTCACTCATGAATTTTATAAAAACTAAACTTAACGAATAATTAAAAATTTATAAATTTATGTTATTTAATTTTTCTTTCCGCAAAGCATTTTTTGAAGTCACACCTACATTAGGAATAACATCAATCAATACATAAAAATCAATCAAGACTTTTGTTTACTTTGAATAAAAACAATAAATTATGGAAGAACCTAAACTCATAAGTAGCTACTTCACAGTTGGTTTAGGCTACTTAAGTGTTTGAGATTTATTGAGCATTAGGATTGGCTTAGCTTTGATTGACTGCTAATGCCTATATTTTTTTGTTTTATTTTTTAAATTATTTTTCGTTACTTACATCAAAATAAACCGCAAACTCATCAAATAAAGACTTCAAGTCTCGTTGATTTCGCAGCATCATTGGCAATATTTGCTCTTCGTGCAGTGACATGATCTCGCCAATATTTCCTAATAAATTTTGGTTTTGTGCCGAGCCTTTCAAAGCCTCTGGCAAATCCTGACGCTCATGCAGTTTGCCATAATTTTGCAAGCCTTTGCGCAGATTGTTCAAATAGTTCACCTCGGTTTGTATGAGCTCATCGATGATGAAACTTATTTTCTTGGAAGCATAAATTTCCGTTTGATCGCACGGAAAGAGATTCTCCAATGAGAGTGTGTCTTCATCCTCGTGGCTATAAAAAGAAAAACAGATGCAAAACAAAAGCGTATAAAAATATTTCTTTTGTACAATTTATTTATTTGTTTTATTTTCTTTTTTATTTTATCTGATGTGATTTGACAGAACAAACTGTAGCATAAGTTTAATAGATTAATTTATGAGATACATATGTGTATATGTACAATATTGGAACTTACTATTCATCACTTAGTGTCTCCGAACTGGGTGTCTGTGGAATACTACCATTAAGTGGAGAACTAATGGAATTACGTGCAGATACAGGGGGAGATGTGTTCACATTGTTTGATGGCAAACTGAAAAAATTTTATTAAATGCAATAACAAATGAAAAAGCGAAGCAAAAAAAACTCTAAAAAAACAACAAAGATTTTGAAAAATTTTATTATTTTTTATTTTATTATCAGTTAAAATTAATTTGTCACAAAATAATTAATAATCACTTAGTAACTATTTACTGTAACAAATATTTTCTAATAGATTCCGCATAAATAAGTTTTCAGATGAATGCATAGGAATTTGATCATGTCTATATATAGAACTCATTACCGTATCAGAGAGTATAATGCTAGCTGATAATCTAATCGTTTAGTCTTATATAAATACATATTGAAATAATAAATATAGTTTTAATATTTTCAACTACTTAATCACCTACAATAAATAAATCTTATCCATGAACTGAGGTTTTTCTTTAAGTATATATAATTACTTTACATACTTATGCGGGGACATACCCTAGGAAATTACAGATATACTGTATTTTAATCATCATACACTCCGTCCAAGTATATTGTAGACTATATTATATATAGTTAGATATATGTATATATATAAATTTATACATAGTTATATTTTAAATCAAACTCTTTATAAAAAAACCACAAAAATCCCGTTACTGCAAAACTAAAAAATTAACAGCAAATGTCATCACTGATTCAAGAACAGTTTAAATTGAAAACTGCTGAAAATATCCACACAAATTGCAGCTTGAAATGGCTTACACAATACACAAACTAGTTATGTATGTTAGATACCTAATATTACCGACTGTGCAGTAGTTAGGACGAAGCATCACCTACATTTTTCGAAATGGATCTAATTAACATCTTCTTAAGTTTATGAAAAAGTATGTAGTAGGTTAACGAGAAAAAAAGACTCAAATTATAGGAAGTGAAATTATATAGGCTAATCTAACACTGCAATCAACCAACCAACGATATATCCTGGGTCAGATGAATCTATTATCTTTCCAAATTTCTGTCACAATATATGGTCGTTAAACAATAAATAATCGCTAATCATGGGAAGTGGACAAATAAATATCTGTTGCCTTTGCGCTGGAAACAACCAAGCAGCTATCGATAGTTGATCAGATGGATCAAGTTTTCATCTTTTTAGATTTCATCTTCAAGATTTTATGTGGTAGTAAAATTATAAATAATTGTAAATTATGGAAAGTGAAAAAATAACTGTAAACTTGACATAACAACCAACGATCAATCATTAACACTAACTCTACCACCAGAACTTTACTTACAATCTGGAGTAAATGATTATTAAGTGATTGCAGATACTACAATAGATTCTCTTCAGGCGATATGCCGCATTTATACTAAATATTTATAAATTTCAAGAAATTTATATGGGAGTTCGCCTAGGTTTTTCAATACATAAGTAGGTGCCCTTATAAGTGTTCTAATGTTCTAAATTTTCATGCCTTTTCCATTTCGATATTTTGCTGCCTGGTGTTTAATATATAATATTATCAACTATTTTATTTTATATTTTAAAAGAAAATTTTAGGCAATAAATTTAAATCATAGAGTTTAACTGATATTTTTCATTATTTTTTTTTACATTATAATAAGTCTAACTGGTTTATTTATGCAATAAAATTTATCTTATCGCACAAGCAAAAATTGTTAATTTTTTTCAAACAATTAAAAAACATAAAATTTAACTAAAAACAGTAAAAAATTAAAAGCACATAAAAGAATTTAGTGAATTTTATAAACAATTTAGCAGCAAATTTTGACGGCTGTCAAAATTAATTTAACATATTTCATGCTCTTTTGCACTCAATTCCTTAACAATTTCGAAAAATTAATATTAATTTGAATGGGAATTTATCAAAGCATAAGACGTACTCTTCGGAATATTCACTGTTTTGTTTTCGTAAAATTCCATTAATTGCTGTAGTGGCTTGTGTCGTAGTATCTTTATCTGTGGCCAAAATTGAATTTATTATTTGTATAATCACAATTGCCAAAATTGACAATGTAACTGTTAAGGTATCGAACCATGTCAAATACACTAAACCGAACAACATTTTCTATTTTAGTTTCGAATACAATATATTAAGCAATAATTTTTAATTTTTTTTTCAAATAATAGACAAATAAACCAAAAAAAATCAAATATAAAAATTCGCAAATTTTTAATTAAAAAAAATCAACTTTTTTGCGAACCGAAATCGAGAGTTCTTTTAACATTGAATTTCAATATCAACTTAATCATTTATGACGTTATAAACATATTTTTAGCCAACCGCGCCATGTTGCTAACGCGACAAGATCGTAAACTCAACTGACACTTGTTTTAATAAAAATGAGTTGCTAAACAAATTCGCTATGAAATTTTTGTAAACAAACCGAGAGAACTTAAGTGTCATTGTGTTAGTGCATTATGAGGATCGTAAACTTGGTCAGACATGACAGTAATAAAATTGATAAGCATGCAAGCTTAGTAACATTTTAGCAACATTTTTCATTTTTCATAGCGCGCAATAAGAAAATTTGTTTATAAACAGAACCAATTTAAGTGACGTATAGAAAAAATCAAAAATTATATAAAATTTAACAATTATTTATAGAACATCCAACTCTAGCAACAAATGTATATATCATTTTAATGCGAAATTTGTTTATAAACATGCTTAAAATTTCAACCTTTTAATTTGTTCTACATTTTTACTGAATTTTTATTTTAAGATATTTTGCTTATTTTGGTTGTCAGAATATTGTAAAACAGATTTATCGTGTTTTTAAATATTTTAAGTTATTGTTTATACAACTTGTTTGTAAAATAAACATCATATCTCATGATTTTTTCTAATAATTTAAGATGAAAAATTGTAGCAATTATTAACTTTGAAAGCAGCAATTCTCATAAAAACAAAAATATACATTTTAAATCATGTTTTTTTGATTTTGGTTTATTGATTAATGAAATGATAATAAAGTTGTGGTAAGTGAATCTCAAGAATTGCTAATTGCAAAATATAAATAATCATTTAAAAGCTATAAAAATGTATAATAAATGTAAACATATAGTATTATATTACTTTAATTAGCCTTTTTGTAATAACAACAATTAAATAAGCTTAATAATAACATTCATTATATAGAACTGCACATTTTGGTTTAATTTTAGAAGATATCTTCAAAAAACACAAGAAAAGGTTATATAGTCTGACTAGTTTGTCTAGTTTCGTATATTAACTGTTTAAAAAAATAACTGATGTTATCAACTACACAGTATAGATATTGATAAACATCAGTTTATCAATAGTTTACGAAACCTTAATGAAAATTTATATATACAGCTCTTGGCTAGTAAGAATCTCAAGGAAACTAAGTTTTCTAAGTGCATAAGATTATGCACTTGGGCAGATGTAGTTTATATTCAAATAGAATGGACTATCTGTATAAAAATAAAATATAAGCATATTACTCAAAATAAGAGTAGCTTTAAAACACTCGTATTAAAACACAATAAAAAAATGAATCTGATCAATAATTGAATTTCTTGATAATCAAAAATTCAATTTTTGAATCTACAATGCAAAACAGGAATTCAGTGTATCAATCAAACCACATATAAAGGAGTTTGACATCATAAACATTGTAATAAAATTTATATACTTGACAAGATTCTTGGTTCTGTAATGACATTATTTAACTTATTGCTTTACTTGATAATGTATATAATAAAAGCTGAATAAAATATTATTCTGAAAAAGTAGTATTAACTTATTGCACTTTTAATAAATAACATTAATAACAACATAATAGCTCATATTAACATATGATGCTATTATACATAAATCTCCAATAATATTAATAACGTGCTTTCCAGTAAAAGAATATTTAGCAGTCAAAATGTTTAATATCTTTAATATAAAATTTATACTAGTTGTATGGACGTTGTTATCAAAAACATTTCGGACTACTGTGATCTTCTTCTCTTCTCTTCTCTTGCAGTTGGTTGCTGATTTTGATAGCTGTTGTTCCTCTTTAGTCTTTTCCTATACGTATATAAAAACAATGCCTCCAGAAGACTTAAAATACCGCTCTTAACTGTCACTATTAATATTATACAGTCTTTGAAGAAATCTTTAATTTCCATTTGCAAAATTTACGCAGTTTTATTTTAATAAAATTATATTAAATAATTGCTAACTAAATCATTTCAATCACTAAACCAATTTCACTTAACACTATAAATATTTTTAATAATTTATTTTTGTTTAATACTTTTTATAGATTTGTCATTCCCTGCCCACAAAATCAATCATTAAAGCCATTAACTTTAATTAATTCCCACAATATCACATATTTCAGCATAAGGCGCTTTCCACATAAAAGATCTAGAACTCAAGCATAAAATTCACATTTAAGTAAACTTTTTAAAAGCACAATTTGTTATTAAATATTTTATAGTTTTTTTTTATTATTAATAAAAATTTTACTAAAATTGTTCAAAACTTAAATAAAAAAATAAAATATATGCGAAAAAATTGTAAATATAAAGCCGCATACAAAACAATTTTGAACTGTTCGCGACTAAGGTCACACGCTGCTTGTTGGAATGTAAACAAAAATCTTGTACTTTTATCCCCACCACATCATTCCGGGTCTATAGTACTCCACAGTTTAAAGTCTATACAAACGCGATATTGTAGAAATAGTTTTCCATAAAGTATCTGAGCGCCGCTGACGAAAAGCAAATCGTTGATCATTTGAATATTTCACTCAGCGCTCAGCAGTTGAACGATTTCGCACTCATCGAGACGTGTGACATCACTTCGGAAATAAAAATAAAATATTCAATCTTAAAATTCAAAAATTTTGAATTTTAAATGTATATTGCTGCTTTCAATTCAACATTTTACAACAACGACATAATTGTATTCAAGTCTCTTAACACAAACCAATCCGTACTAATGTATTCTCAAATAAATTTTAATATAAGTGAAATATACACGAATCATTACGATTGCAGTAATGAATAGAATAGATCAGAATAGAATACAGATGAAGTGCTAAGCTGTTTAATAACTTATACAGATGATAAAACATCTTCCTATACATACTGACTAGTCATTGCCACATACTAATACTGTTTGAACTTCATTACGATATTGAGACTGCGTACATTCATCGGCTTTACTTACTCCATTATAGCGTGAGTATTAAAGACGATATTACAGTGATAATGATACTTGGGTTCCCAAGAACAAGAGTTAAGGAAACACTGTGATCAAGTTAAACGATTGCTAATTCTTTTGAATATAAGAGATGGAAGATGATACTTTATTGATAAATATGCTTGGGGTTACAATTGACATGGTGTAGATTCAGCGGCTTTATGAGCTCGGTTATAGCATGAAGTTTGAAGACGATGTTGCAGTGATAATGATGCTTGGGGTTACAAGAAGAAGAGTTAGGGAAATACTGTGTGATCAAGTTTAGGGATTCCTAATTGTATTTAATATAGGATAATGAAGAAGACGGGGTATTGATAACAAAGTGTTAGATTTGTCTAAAAGATAACAATAGACTATATAAAGAACAACAATGAAGTCAAGTTCTTTTTAGTGAAATTCTAGAGTCCCTATCATGTTTTAGAGAAAGTGATTGTAAAATTTAACTGATTTTTAAGGGCATATAATGTACTGTATCTATCTTAAATAGTACTGTTTGAGTAATTTTTATTTTATTATTATTTTATTATTAATTACAGTGATAAATTGTAAAAACACCCAACAATTATATATTCCAACTGTTATAATCATGTTGTCGTTATTCTAAAGCTGATAGTTGTAGTTACGTGAAGTGAATTACATTCAAGATAAACATAAATTTCCTTTCAAAAGAATCGATGAAATATGCTATATCCAAAACTGGGTTTGTACTACTAAATCACTTTTAACATTATTTTCAATTTTTTGTTTGCAATTTTTTTTTTCGTAAACTTTTTTTAAAAAAAAATTGTCATAGATACTTTTTCTCTGTTCTTGCCATTACGGCTCAAGATACTCGCCTTCAAAAATATAATTATTTTTCAAAGTATTACCTTTGTGTTAAAATTGAGATATTCTTCAGTTAGAATAACTTCATATATATCGATAATTAAAAGATTAAATAAATTACCAATTATAGCCTTCAATTATTAGACAAGTTTCATATTATATTTAATAATATAATATACTTTATTGCTAGTTGAAATTACTTTAATATATTATTTACTTTAACATTTTATAAATTAATTAACTAATATAGTACATCGTTAAATTAGATACTAAATAATACATTTTGTATCTATATTATTTGAATAAATAATAAATTTAAAAATATTTGGCATATATTACAATTTAATTATCTAATACAACTGTTTTCTACTCAAACCAAACTTGAATATTTTAAATATTTCTGTAAAATAAAACTATCCCTGGACTATGATACTGCATACCATGTGGTACGATTTGATGCCGTTTCGCTTTCTGATTCAGGTTTCGGCATAACCCAAATATTTCCTATACCACTATCCGAACTAAAACGATTTGAATCACGAAATAGTGAAAGACTCAGTGGTCTCGGATGTAAGTGATCGTTTTCTCTGGAATAGCGTTCTTGGAGCTTTTGACGTTCTTCCGATACATATGAGTTTATCATGTCGCGTATTAGCTCCAACCAAGTTTCTACCAATGCCGCATCGCCACTGAACTCACATTCTTGCTGCTTTCGTCGTTCATAGTAGAGTGTGAAGGACTTTGTTTTGGCTGAAATTCCAATATGTTCACACGGATAGCGACCATGGAAGACTAGATTTTTTCCCTTGATTTCTGTATAGATAATACATTTATCAAAGATGAATACTTTTGCTTTGTAACTACGTTTGAGTGTATGATCGAAAACATGAAAATCGCTCACTTTACGGAATTTTCCTTGATAAAATACATTGAACTGAAATATAAAAACAAAACAATATTATATTTCCCATTAAAAGTGTTTTACAGAAACTAATAAGTAAAAGTTATATTGAATGGATACTCCTAAGGAAATTACTGGTCCTCTAGGTATCTGGTTAAAAAACTTTCACTTTATATTAAATACCTACCTCATTACAGTCCACAATATCATTTATGACTTCGGATTCATTGGTCGTCGTTAGCAGTGTGCGTACTTTTTTGTCTAATCGACAACAGGACTCAATTAACGGCTTCATAACATATTCACGATTTTTAAATAAAGCCTAAAAGAAGAAGATTTTTTAGAAAAATTCTAATAGTTTAACAATACTTTAATCAGTTGAAAAAAACCTTACTGTTATAAACTCCTTCAGTAACAAAGGATAACGTGCCATTCGTTGTATGGGTTGTACCAGAAAACTATTAATACCCAACTTATCATCCAAATCACTTTGTATCATCTAAATTGAAGCAATCCATTTTATAGTTTTTTTTTATTAATAATATAAATCTATATCTCTCACCTTAAAGTAATTTTTATATAAATCACATAATTTTAATGATCGTTGTTTATTCATTGTGAATATGACATAACTGTAGAAACAATTTTCCTGCAATATCAAAATATTTTGGTTTAAATTTATTATTTTATATTATTTCATAAATAATATAGTATTTGTTGATAATATTTCTGATTACTCACATCGATGAAACGTATGAACTCAAGAAATAAGCGTTTCAAATCTCTACGATTGCGATGCAACATTGGCAAGAACTCATCACGATGGAATTCGGTGATTTGTTCGATATTTCCAAACAAAACGTATTTTTTGCCTCGCAGTCCGATTGGTAAGTCAGCACGTTGAAATATATTTCCATAGTTTTGTATACCCATTAGCAGATTCTCAACGTAAGTTTCTTCAGTTTTGATAAGTTCCTCCAATATAGGATGCACAAATTTATCACATTTTTCACGTAGCTGTGGCTCTTCATCCTCTTCACCACTGTGAAAAAACATAAAAAATTATAAATATTATTATATGTTATGCATTTATGTAATATACATTAATTTAAACTTTTTATATGTTTAAATCAATCAATACGATCTAAACTACAATTTTGGGTCTACGATCAAAAACTGTTGCAAAACTGTTAATGGTTTTGATAGATCACCGAAGAAGAAGAGACTATCGAATACTTGCTCAACCCAATATTTAATAAAACCGAGATTGTTAAATATCTGTCATGTTCATTGGTTTATAAACTTTCATATATCACTATAATAATGACAGATAAATAGTAAAAGAAGAAGTTAAAATACCGTCGTCTAAAGCAAAACTAACATGACTGAATATCGTTCAATAGGGAAATAGGGACATTCTGATTTCACAATGTCTATTAATGCTAATGGCTCGGAAATTTATAATACTCGTATTATCCATATATAACATATTAATTTGAGAATAATTTGACAAGTATCTAATAATTTTTCCCTGTTGAGGTTTCTACTGCAACTTTTTGTCACTAATTTCATATATCAACAAAATTGAAAATAATCATTATAGTAAAATTATATTAAGTTATATATGATTTAAAAACTTACTCGTCTTTTTCTGCATAAACGGAATTGAACTTTACATTTCTATTAATAGTGCCAATAATTTCAGTCTTTGGTCTCGGAGTTGAGCGGAAGTTTCTGCAAAAAACAAATAAAATATATTTTTTTAAAAATATTCTTTATTTTAACAGTTCTTTCAATTATTAATTGAATTAAGGCATAAGCTCTAATATATACATGAAATGATTATTTTATATGAATACTATTATATATACACAAATTATACAAAATATGTAAATTACTATAGCAAACAACAACAAACACCTATTTAAGCCGGCTTATACTCGTAATAAGCTTTTAATATACTCTCAAATTGTAGATACTTCGTTTGTGAATAAAGATAAATATTACTGAGGTGACGTCACTAAGTAAATATCTCTAAAATATAAATAACCAGTTTTAAGCTATTGTAGAATAAATTAACACGCCTCTGCAATGTGAGTTCTAATTTATATAATACAAATATCTTGGCTTATGACGTATTTTTTTTTTATTTTACCTAACAAGTTTTTTAACTGAATTTTTAAGCTTCTCGTAAATGCACAAAAAAAGATATATTTATTGACTTGAATTGCATCAGTTGCCTTACGTTTCAGTTAAAGAAGGCGTATAAGTTAAGCCGCAAATAAATTTTTATCAATTTTGGGACAAGCCTAAATCATTTTTATTTCTCAATACAATTGTATAGGAGTACATTTTTAGGGTTAAGTTGAAGGAAGTTGGAGGAGTAATAAGAATGTTATATGTGTGCTTAATTATTAAATTTATTGCTTTTATATTCTTATTCAATTATTATACTTTGAATTTATATTAATGAAGACAACATTTTAGCAATAATTCAATACAAAAATATTAGTTTCTAAGAACAATTGTGATTACAATAATCCTGATAACCACTTATCATATATATTTTCTTCTTGCTCAGTGCACAAAAAGAAATTACTACTTCATTAGCTGTGAATTGTTTCAGGCACTACAAGTAGCGTTGCTGTGACATTACTGGGAAGTTTATCTGCAATTATATTACCAAATATGACAGTTGATCTGGGACTCATAAGTAGGGACACATAATAACTTTAACCAAGGATATTTAGTTTTTTATCACATTTTGGTACTAGTCTTGATATCTATTCTGAGATTCTGATAAAATAATTTAAGACATATTCATATACAGTATTGTTTCACACTAAATTTAACTGACAAATTATCTCAAGTAAATATATTAAAAGTTTTCAGTTAAGTTATCTTATAGTAGATTTAAAGTAGAATTAATATATTGCAAAAATTGAAATTAACTTAATTTTCCATAAAAGCTTTTATGCTGTTACGGTTTATTATAATAAACGAATTATCTAATTTTAATTTATTGTCATTATTCGTGTTAAATTTATGGTTCACATAAATTAACTCAGTCTAAACACAAACCAATTATAACTAGTTAATTATATCTTTAAATATATTAATATAAAATTGAAACAGAAACCTAGTTTTTTATTGTAATATATCTAGTTATGAGATTCGATAGCAATAACTATAGCAATACATTTAACATAATTTAAACCATAATAAAACCTTTTTAATGAATTATGATAAAAGTTTCAGTTGATTTCCTATCACCGGTACTATGTATCCACCAAATTAAAAATATTTAATAATTTCTAATGGATTTATAGGAATTTATTAATTTTTATAAGCTAAATTTCATTTGATGAAATATTTATAATTTAAGTATTTCCCCAAAAATTCCAATTAACACTTTAAACACTGATTAAGGTTTTTAATCGAAGTAATAAAATGCTTAGGAATTTCACAATTATTGTTAATTAATTTTTTTATTTATATTTTAATTAATCGGAGTTCAATTTTTTTACGAATTCTGATTTTGAAATTTGTTTTGATTAGCAAAGATATAAAAACCTTGTTAAAGAAATGAAATAAGATAGTTTTCTTTATTTGAAATACATTAAATTAAAAGTTTTATAAGATAAAAGTTTTATGCTATATAATATTTATATATATATTGAACTAAGTCATAAAACCACCAATTATTATATACAAAAGTAGGCACTTAATACTATTATGTTTATTTAATATAATGAAAGATCTGCTAGGCGAATACCTTCACCAGAAAACGTACCCTTGTAAATGTGCTAGTACCCAATTTTCATTTTTTTATAAAGTATGTTATCATTAACGGACAGAATGTTTTCACTGTATCTATCAGTATTAACTTCATTTTTCTAATGTATTCATTACAAAATTTCAAAATTTTTCTTGTTAAAACAAAATTATAAATTCTATTATTTTATCTTATAATGAATCAAGGCACGCCATTCCCCGATTCACTCATATTATCAAACTATGATTCATTCGTGTCCAACTATTAAATTGACACAAAAAAATTAACCTTGCAATATTTCTCATATATAAAATACCGTAAAAGTAATTAACTTTTCCAGAAATTTTTTATTTACTTCTAAGATACTAAGATACTTGTACATTGCAGATACATAGCTAATGTGTTACTGCAGTTTTTATCATTGCAAAAATAAATTATTTTGTTTGATATGTCGCGAAAAATTTTCAAATACAAATCGTTTGATATATTTTTTATGTATTTACTTTTTGAAAACAAGGAAAATGGACGTAGGCGTATACGCAATTAATCTGTTTATACTAATACAGGGTATGTGGCAGATGAACATTATATTGATCGTATATATAAAGATATATTTGTACATTAATTAAAGTCTTTCTATAAGTCGTAGTAAATATATATTTCTATTAGTGGAATAACTATGGCTTCAACTACGAAAATATGAATACTATCTATGAATTTTTCAATGATATTATTTATTTAGATTTAGTGCTAATTAGCGCTTTAAATGAAAGCTCAGAATTTTTACTTGAAGTAAAAATTGATGGATAATATATTTTTGAATTCATTTACTAAACCACCTCTTAGGAATGAATGGAGAAGATTTCCACAGCATTGTGAAAACTTCATTCCAGTAATCAGGGGAGAGATGAGAAAAAATAGACTTAGTATCTGGCGAGCTAGATCTACATATCACAGGTTTTTAATTTATATAACTATCACTTACTATATTACCACTCGTTTTGAACATTGATTCTTCTTTTCTTTTAAAAAACATTATTTCAATAACAAAGCACTTTGTTAGTTCATAACAAGGATTTTATAGATTGAGTACTTTTATGGGTAAGCAATTGTCATCTGCAAATAGGGATAGCAAGTTGTTGATTTGATTTTGACTATCTGCAATGCATAAGTTGTATGGAAATGTAAATTATGCAAAACCTTATGGAACTTCATCCTCTGTATCTTTTTTCAACAAAAGTCCGTTTTCATTTTAACTATAAATTTATTGTGCCACATAAAATTTTTAAAGTGTCCTAATAACTGCATTCATTTCTGCGAGATATTCTGCTCCCTTATTCTTATTAGAAGGCCTGAGTACTATATCGAAAGATTTTTGGATGTCGAATGACATAGGACCTGTGAAATGTGCTTGTATTAATGCATAGTCTTTAAGAGGTTTTATTTTATTTTTATAATGGTTTTTATATATATTTTAATCAGATTACAGGCCAGTTTGTATCAAATAATTCAACGTTTGTTTAATATTTTTTTATTATATTCTATATTTCGACTATCCTTGAGTGTCATTATCAGGATCACGATCTAACATAAATTAATATTATTAAAACTATATATACGACATACTCTTTATTCTTTTATTTTTATTGCAATATAGGCAATAGAAAATAGAACCGTTTCAGGTAATCTCGATAAAAAAAACATAAAGTGATAAAATTTAATTAAAATGACAATGTTTCTTAAGCCAGGTTTTGTAATACAGAACAGAATATGTAATTTATCGTAGACATAAACACATTTTGTAAACTGAAATACATTTTGAGTTCTATATTATAAATGTGTTGTAAATGTGAAATCATTTGTGTTGATTTCATATTACCTAAGACATCATTATATAGAATTATGTATATATATATAAGACAAAGTATGTTAGAAAAATATAAAAAAACCGGAATCGGCATAATATCATATTATTTAATTATTGCATTTGTGATAATTATTCCAAGATAACTAAAAAGTTCTCTTACTTATGCTTACTAGTTTTTCACTCTATTAAAGGTATCCATTTAATTTTATTCATTCAATTGTTAAATAAAAAGATCTGTAATAACTAAAATAAAATTAGAAACAGAAAATAAGCCTTCTTGTAAATTTTATTCTATAAGAGTTATCAATCTCTCCATTGAATATTTTATCATAACTAAAGCTCTTAATAGTTTTGCACTTCCCATACATAATCAATTATATAGAAATTATTTGTAGTAAATTGGTGACTAAAACTCAAATAAGAGGCGCCACAATAATAAATATAAAATGCTTAAGTATATTTTCCCTTTGTTTTTTGATAAGAGGGGATTTTTTTCAGGGTAAACTTTTGTTTTAATTATAGATTAAATGGCTGAAAACGCAAAAGTAGATAAGCACAAAGCTAAATTTAACATTGTATTTTATAATCAAATTGTATGAAAATGATATGTAATGAGAAACTGATTGCAAAATGAATCACCCGTGCAGTACATCATTATATATATAAGATATTTACATATGTAAATTATACAAATAAACAATTACATACAAAATAACAATATAATTATGGAATATATAATATTTTGAGCTGACACTTATTAAAATGCAAAGAAAATCGTAACGCTGTGGCGTATGAGTGATTTTATGCAAATGACGAAGAACAGAAAATCTGTTGCTTACCTTGGAAAATCTTTTTTAGCAGTGTTGGAAATGTTTTGTTCATCTTGCTCACTGGAATGATTTTCAATTTTAATATTAATAATAGGCGTACTATCAGCGCTTATTGTTCGCCGCACACTTTCCGCTTTGCCGAAATCATCGACCCCATACTCAGCAACATTGGCATTTATATCTGTATTAGCTGATTGGAACTCTTCACCAGGTTTAGAGGATAATGTACTGGTTTCAGTTAATTCTTTAGCAATTTCTGGCACAATATATTCATTTGTTGGTGTTGTAGCGTCTTCTGCAAAATCTGTTATATCTTCGACTTCATCTTCGGATCGTTCCTCATCAATGCTGGCATGAAAAGAATTAGAACTTGTCTCGCCATTTTGTTTCAGTTTTCTATTGAAAATCGGTAACACACGTAATGGCCCCAAATGCAAACCACTATGTTGTGTATTATGGGATGTGGCTTCAGCCAGCGCTTGTAAGGATTTCGATTTATATTTGCCTGTTTTGAAGATAATACGATCATCCGATTGCAGTGCTTCGAAGTGTAGAACTTTTTGTCGCACTGGCAATAATGCGGGTTCAGGTGTTTGTGGCTCATTTCCATCTTCAGCTGGTGGTTTCATTTTTAATAAAGATCTACGGTTGAAAGCATTTTCTGTATCTGAATTAACTGAGTATGAGATTTGCAATGAACTGGAACCTTTCGAAACATTTAAATTATCATCCGTACTAGTAGTATTACTTGCATCTTTACTTTCAGTTGCGAGACTCACTGAATCAACGGAACTATGACTTTCAGTGCTGTAGCGCCGATTGGAGCCGCGACGTTTGAAGTTGCGATTGCTAAGATTTCTTTCACGTCGAAAGGGACGCGGACTATCATCGTCAGACATTTCTTGATAATATTAATACTCTGTGTTGATAGAATGTACTCAACCTTCACTTTTTTTGTTTTTATTTTGAGTTCAACACTTTGCGTTTATTTCTCACAACAACGCCTATACATTTGCGGCTTTATCTAAAACAAGTAAGGAAATATATTTTATATAATAGTTTCTCACTTGCACATTATACTTGATCTATATATTCTTATGCATTAATAAACAGAAACTAATAAATTTATTTGCATTTAAAATTCAAATATGTAAGACATTTTATCAGTAACGGAACTTCTTGGTTTTTATTTATGCAATCTTATCTGCACGTTTTTATCTGATCGCTTTTCTGCTATTATCTATTAAAACTTTTTATAAAATCTTTACTTTGATCACTTCATTCTTATCCAAATTTATTAAAATTTATTAATTTTTTTAATTTTTTTAATTTTTAATCATTTCCACGTTCATTTGTACACAACGGAATTCCGACACCAACTAATTAAGCTTACGAAGCTTTTATTGCATGTCGTTGTTCAGTGTCTCTTATTTTATTTTGTATTTCAATTCTTCTCGATTTTGTAAATATCAGAAATTATCTTGCTTGTTTAGCAACCCACGTCACATAAATAAAAACAAAATGTTGATATTTCATAAAAGTTTGGAATAATTATAGTCATCGCTTTTTGAGCATTTTATGAGCTTTTCTCTTATAAACGCCATTAATCGAGAACTGAATATACATATTCTATAGTCTTAATATTTATATCTATGATTGATTAATTAATTCTTTTCGTCATTAATGTGACATAGGTGTGCTAAAAAAATGTAACCTTAAACGATTACATATATGATTGATATAATATAATTATCTATTTCGTAAAAACTTTATTCATTATATTTTAAAAACAGAAATTAGTGTATAGATCCTTTAATCTTGCCTAAGGTTATAGTCAATAATGAAAGCGTATCAACTAATTTTGGAATAAGGTCACTTAAATAAGAACTCTGAGTCATATATAGTACTGATTCTGATCGATTTGGCTTTATCTCTATTTACTTTCAAATCTAATGAACTATCATAAAAATAAATGTGTCGCTATCCGTTGAAGTGGCGAAAACTGGTGAAATCCTATTTTAAAACTCTATATAATAGCTGTAGCTAAGATCTAACAAACAAACTTATTAAAGTGAAACTATGATATAATTGTTCAATCTAAGATAGGAAGTTAATGTAGACATAGTAAAATGGTTGAAATTTTATAGAGCGGTTTAAAAACATATTGGGCAAATATCATAAGGTGTTACAATTAAATGCTATATTTTGGTATTTAAAATTAAATGTTAGACAACATATAAATAGCAAAATTGAAAAATAATTAAATTTTGGGATTTATTTTTAGAACGTCACGTACTAATAATCTAAGCTACCTTCACCCATTCAAGAAAGAGGTCTTAACTAGACATACCCTAGTACAGTCAACACTCTAATATTTTCTAATACTATCCATGGTCAGCAGAAAATTTATTGTTAAGAAATTGACTTGTTTCGAATCTGGTAAACATAGAAGCCATTAGGCAATCGAAATCAAGTGTAGAACAATATCTCTCACACATATTTTTTTGACGCGAGGTATATGTGGGGTAGTAAAATATAGTTAAACCTATCACTCAATCTCAACGAAATATTTGATTATCTACGCTTTTAGATCAAATTTCAAATCAGTTTCACATGGGTATACAAGAAAAACCAAAAAAGATCGTGGAAGCGATCGTCGACTGTTATACCTGGTTACCATTGGAACCATCACAAACAGTTATGACCGTTCTGATGTCTAAACTTTGATATAACCTCTATGTTAAGTAAACTTGATCATAATATTTATTAATAA